CCAGAACTCTGTTGCTTCTCTCCACAATATGAATACCTTTGTCACTGAGCTGTTGTTGCTACTTGTCATCGAGCCCATACTCACAGAAACTCTAAGCACAACAGAAACACTGCCCAATCCTGCTCCCACCTCACAATCGTTGCTGAGTCTGAGCCCACTGTGCCAATCCATCTCGTTGGGGAGTGTGTGTGTGTGGGTCCTTCCTCTTTTTCTCCAACCCTCCACTGTACCAAACATGAGCTCTTCCCTTCTCCATTGTCACTGAGAGTTTCCCAATGATCAGCAGTGATGACTAGAAAAGACTCAGAGGATTACAAATCTCAGGCATATAGTTAACTGGGACCATTCTGACTGTCTAACAAAACTGCTCTTCTGCTCACAAGTAGGCTCAGACGCCCATTGAGGGGAGAGAAGAAACAGAAAGAGAAATAAGAAACCAAGACAGGAACACCAATAGTGGTGGTAACGTTAAGTGTTGTCAAATTGGTTCTGACCACTAGCAACTGCTGTGGCACTGTGGGTTAATGAGCCAGACTGCAAAGCCATTTGAACTGCAAGGTCAGCAGTTCAGGGTCACCTGCTTCTCCTCGGAAACCCTATACAGGGTCGCTATGGGTCGGAACTGACTCATTGGCACTTAACAACATAGGGTTTACAAAAAGCAGCTGGTCAGCTTGAACCACTGACCTTGTGGTTCAAACCAACCTTGCAGTCCAGTGCATTAACCCACAGAGCCAGTAGCAACAGAAAATAATCTAGAACATCTATCTATCCATAAAAGAATGACAGGAAAGGGAGCTATGTTGCTTCTAGAAGACTATGGTTAAGTGCCATCAAGTTGGTTCTGACCCTTATTGATGGTGTATAGGGTTTCCAAGGAGTGGCTTTTAGCCGCCGACCCGGTATTTCAAACTAACCTCGCAGCTTATCCTACAGCGCCACATCAGGATAATTTTTTTCCCCCCTCTAAAAAAAGTGTGTATATTGTTGTCAAGCACCATCAAGTCGGTTATGATTTACAGCGATCCTGTAGAGGGATCTGAGGCAATTCAAACGCACCAGCTGCTCTCAGAAATCCTCTACAGGATCATGATAAAGTACTATTGAGTTGGTTCTGACTTAACCACATTAAGACTCAAGAAATATGCATGATACTAGTTCACTTTGTTGTTAAAGTGCTGTTGAGTTGGTTCTGACCCAGAGCAACCCTGTATAGGGTTTCCAAGGAGTAGCTGTTGAACTTGAACTGCTGACCTTGCAGTTTAAATGACTTTGCAGTCTGGCGCATTAACCCACAGTGCCAGACCAGGACACTAGTTCACTTAGCTGCTGATAAATCTGCAATAAATTTGAAGTAACACGATTTGTCAAAGCAGGACTCCAATATGGCCCCTCAACATCTCACATCTCTTGGAATGCAGACCTTGTATAGTCTCCTATACTTTATTAGGATTGATGTTTGTGATTAATAAGGTACGACAGAAGTAATGACAAATGTCATGTACTAGACTAGATTGTAAGATTGAAGTGTAACAATATAGGATAAACACTGGATTCAAGGTCAATTTGAACCACAAGGCTAGTGGTTCAAACTCACTAGCCACTCCTCAAAAATCCTGTACAAGGTAGTTAAATGTAGAGATACCAAGTGTTTGCTGTTTTAAGCTGCTACATTTTGGGACAATTTGTTATGCTAAAATTTGGGGCAATAAATAACAAATCACAATCTATCTAAAAAAGTAAAACATACAATTTATCAATTAACTAAAAGGTCTAAAAATTTGGACAAAGAATTTGATTAAGATACTTGTACTTGATCACTAGTCATTTCAAAACCCAAAAACTCTCTGAAATAAAAACTCAAGAGGCCAGTTAATAGGTTTTAAATCATAAAATAATTTATAAATTCACTTGGTTTGTTTACAATCCTCCATTTCCAAGTCACTATTACTGTGCTAGGAATACTTAATACATTTAAAACAGAAAGATATATACCTCCCCTGCATGCTTCAAATTATCTTCTACAATCCAGGTATTTTTCCTGCATCTTCAAGAATATAATTCCTGAGAAGAAGATTTTTATTTAAATTATTTTGTGCAATAACCAATGCCTTCTAAAAAAAAAATCTTTATAGTTTACATATCCTCATTTAAATATTCAATAATCACAACGGTTCATTATGTGAACAGCAGTGAAAATGTTTAATCACTGGATATGAAGTTACTTAAGGAAGCAAAAGTATAACCAAATGATCAAACTGCCACTCATTACCATCAGTAAAACAAAGTAAACAAAAAAAATCACACAAATATCACTCAAGAGATGATTCTATCTATAAAAACTACATATTTCCTTAGCTAGAAATACACAAAGAAAATCTAAAGTACATTGGTTATTTATATTTAATTAGGCCTACAAACAGGTAAGCAAATCTGTTCTGCTACAATGTATTTCTCAGAAACTCATCTGTAAGTAATAATCAGAAAAATGTCAGTAGAACAAATGCTGACCTGGCAGGAGGAGTACTTTCCACAGTATCTTAACAAAACGGAAAAAGGAGTGCCTGTACCCGAGGGAGGCTTCCTTTATTTCAAGAGGGATCTCCCCATTTTAACAGCAACACTGTTAGCCCAGGACTCTTGGTGTGGCACTGTAAAATAAGCACTGGACTGTGAACCACACGGCCTGTGGTTCAAGCTCACCAGCTGCTCCTCTGAAACACTATACAGGGTTGCTATGGGTCGGAACCAACTCGATGGCACTTAAAAGCCAGCAAAGGACCATCTCCAAGGAGCCCGAGTGATGCTGCAAGATAAACACGGGACGGCTAACCAGAAGGCCAGCAGTTCAAACCCAGTAGCCACTGCACAGGAGAGATGTTTCTGATTCTGTACAGATTTACAGCTTAGGAAACCCAATACAAGGTTGTTATGAATCAGAAGAGTCTACAGCAGTGGGGTTTGGTGTTGATGCTGAGGTAAGCTGTCTGCTCCCATACTGACTTATAGCCTCAGATACGCTGTTAAAGGTTCACTACTGAGTCAAAATCAACTGGATGGCAGTGGGTTTATAAGGTAGACTCCATTTGGGGAATGGGGTGGCATATAAGCATTCTCAAACCAAAACATTTGCCTGAGACTCATGGTCATCCCATGTGTATCAGAGTAGAACTATATTCCATGAAGTTTTCAATGGCTGTGATCTTTTCTAAGTAGATCACCAGGATTTTCTTCAAAAGTGCCTATGGGTGAATTTGAGCAGAAAGCCTTTTTGGTTAATAGCTGAGCACAACCTACAACAGCACTCCCTTGATAGTAAAGCAACAATCTCTGCCACACCAGGACTCCATGACAAAAATCCATTATGTCTATTTGTGTGCCAAGGACTGAAAAGATAAAGCACTAGTCAAAAAAGAAAACAACCCAAATATCCCTCAAATGATGGCAAAAAAGAGATACAATGGTGTGTTGTTTAGTCAGCAATAGAAACAGAGTACCAATAAATGCTACAATACGGATTAGCCTTGAAGACATTATGCAGATTGTAAAATTCAGTCATAAAGTCCATTGCTGCTGCTGCTGTGTGCCTTGGAGTTGGTTCTGACTCATAGTGACCCTGTACAGGGTTTCCGAGGCTGTAAATCTTTACGTGAGCAGAAAGCCTCATCTTTCTCCCGTGGAACAGCTGGCAGTTTCGAACTGCTAACCCTGAGGTTGGTAGCCTGATTTGTAACCACTAGGTTACCAGAACTCCTTCATAAAGTCCATATGTGTCTATAAATGTGAGATGTCCACAACTGGTAAACTGATAGCGAAAAAGTACATTAATGGCTGCCAGGGAATTGGGGGGATAGGGTTAAGTGCAAAGACAAAGGGATTTCTTTTTGCAGAGATTAAAAAATGTTCTAAAAGTGGGCTGCTTACTGCTAGAAAGCCATTTTCCACACACAATCCTCTGCAGGGCAGTTTCCCAAAGTTCAAAGACTACCCTTAAGCCACGTGTCTTCTTCGTTAGCCAACTACAGAAGCACAAGCTCTTTTTAATTTCATGGGAAGGAGAAAGAAAGTGTGAAATAGGAAACAGCTGTGCAAAAGTAATACCTTGATAGGAAATCTTTTTTGGCTGGCAGCTGGGAAAAAAAAAAACACAGCACCCTTGTTAAGGCTTGGAAATGCTGGAATCATCTTTGTGAGCCACAGATGGCACTGGAAAATATAATACATAATAGAAACTTCGTTAGCCTCGTTTTTCTACGAAAACTGAAATCATATTTATGCCTTAGCTGTATAGAGTTTAAGACGCTACTCTAATAAATCTTGTCACTTCTGAAAGCTATCCTCGATTTCCCAGCACCCCCAATCAAAACCCTTCCCGTTTCTCAAGCCCCCACTACTGACCTGTACTGTCGAGTTCCTACCAGAGCGTGAGTGTACCCGAGGGACCCAGGCACTTACCTCAGTTCCCTCTGCATTTCCCCAACGCGCCAAGATGTCTTCTGGAGTCACATACTTACAACTTGCAATGGCCAAAGCTCCTACGTTATCTGCGTATCATGTAGCTTCAAAATAAAATACAAGGAAATCAGCATTTTAGTAAATAAATTACTGAGCTTTTTGCCCGACTTTGCTTTCATTTCTAGGGGGGGGAGCCACATTTAGCCCTCTTTCTCATTGTCATTTAGAGGTCGCACCTTAGACCCATCGGTATGGTCCTGGATTCGCTTCCACTGTATGTTGTAACTCTCCACTTCTCATTCTTAATTTCGACTTCCCAAGAGGCGTGATGGCGACGGATTAAGCTAACATAAATGAATACAAAAGCGGAACCATCACGACGCACCCAAATCCCACAAGCCACCCTCGAAAAAGCCGGGAGCGAGTAACTAAGTAATCCTCTTGAAGCCCTTCCGATTGGCTGTCGCGACACGACGTAGCCAATGACTGGCCACGACGTCAAGCGCAGCGCCTGCGGAGAGGAAGGGTGGGCGTCCCTCGCGTTTAAAGCCCGCCTTTCTCTACAAATAAAGGTCCTAGCCGCCGTGTCAACAGGCGGAGCTAAGTTCAACGTGGTTCATACTCCCACGGCTTCTTGGAAAGTGAAGCCCCACGTAGCAAGAAGATGACCCGAAGTTGCTCTGCAGTGGGCTGCAGCACCCGCGACACCGTGCTGAGCAGGGAGCTCGGCCTCTCCTTTCACCAGTGCGTGTGAGAGCAGCCTCCGAGCAGTTTTTATTCCCAGCAGAGCTTGGCTGGGAAGTAGGCCGCGGTGGGGCGGGGCCGGGGCGTGCGTCGCTCCGTAGGCAGGACTTGTTGCGACGTGCATAACGTGCGACGAGGCTAGAGAACAAGGTTCTTGCCACATTTTGCGTTCAATGTTCTCTTCAAATTGCTGCGTGTCTCTCCTTGCGCCTTGCCTGCTGGTTGGCTGGCTGTATGCGGTGGAGTCGGTTCCGACTCATAGAGACCCTGTATAGGGTTTCCGAGGCTGTAAATCTTTACGGGAGCAGAGTGCCTTATCTTTTTTCTCGCGGAACAGCTGGTAGTTTCGAACTGCTGACCTTGTGGTTCACAGCCCGATTCATAACCACTAGTCTACCAGAGCTCTTTCGCGGGTTGCCTAGTGGCTCTTAAAGAGCTTCATTCTTAAAAAGTGAAAGGACTCCTGCCTTCTTTCAGGTTCTTATTTAAACTGAGGAGACAGGAAGGGCGTTTGGGATAGCAATATAGCATCTGAGCACGAGTCCAGACCTGAGTTTTCCCCAGTACAACCTGGCATTGCAAGTTGTTCAGTAGCATTAGTTGATTTCTGTAAGGCCAGTCATGTTCCTGCTGGGTTTGATCATGGCAAGGAAGCTTTATTTGGCTGAAGAATGGAGCAAAAATTCAAAACAAACGATTGGAACTGATGTCTAAGGTCCAGATTGGTAAATGGTAAAGGTCATCAAGTCGTGTTGAAGGCACAGTGTAAGGTAGAAAGGGTAAACAGTGAAGAGACGGGCTTCAAAAAGAGGTAGTCCGCTAAAAGGTAGGGGAGGCCTGGTTGCGCCATGGATAAAATGTTCAACTGCTAAACAAAGATGTTGGAAGTTGAACCCACCATCTCTTTTGGGTTAGAAAGATGTGGCAATCTGTCCCTGGGAATATTTGCAGCCTTGGAAACCCTATTGGGCAGTTCCTTATCCTTTAGGGTCCTTATGAGTCAGAATTGACTGCAAGGTAATGGGTTGTTTTTTTTGGGGGGGGGTGAGAGGGTGTTACTCGAGGGTAATGGAAGATGCAAAGAGTTTAAGAAAATGTAAAATCATATTTATGAGACATCAAAAAGTGTTTGGGTACAGGTGGTGTTTGAATTGGGCTTGAACCGTGGAAGGTGGGGATGGGAGGTGGATAGTGATTTAGGAAGATTACCAAAATTCACTTCTGTGGAGTTGATTGTGATTCATCTTCACCCTATATAGGGTTTTGAGACTATAAATCCTTAGGAGAGCATACAGCCTTATTTTTCTCCCAGGGAGCTGCTGGTGGGTGGGTTTGCACTGCCGACCTCCTGGACCAGTGCTTACCTTTAAATAAATGTAAAGAAATGGAAAGTACACATAGTAAAAAGGTAACGAGGGACAAAAGAAAAAAAAAAATTCAGTCCAGTTAAGGAGTTTGAGGAGTTCTGGTGTGGCGGTGTGGGCTAATGCACTGCACTGTAAGGTCAGTTTGAACCACAAAGTTGGCAGTTCAAGGTCACCAGCTGCCCTTTGGAAACCCTGTACAGGGTTGCTATTAGTCAACCAAATCAACAGCATTTAACAACAACAAGGAGTTTCATGGGTCCTGGAATGGCACTGTAGGAAAGGCTCAGGTCTGTGAACCTCACCTTCAGCAGTTCAAACCTACCAGCTGTTCCTCGAAAACCAACTCAGCATCATGTAACAACGAGTTTCTACTCTGCAGTCACTTTTCTGTTGTTTTGTTTTTTGAAATAAGATCAGGTAAGTTTAGTTGGTTAAACTTCATATCAAAAAGTTAAATAATAAATGGGTTTATACAACACATTTCTGTAATATATTTTTATGTTAATAGAGTTTTAATATGATTGTTGTAGATTTCCAACTGATACCATACAGCGCTCAAAATGGATCAGGGCTGTTAATCGTGTGGACCCCAGAAGCAAAAAGATTTGGATCCCAGGACCAGGTGCTATACTGTGTTCTAAGCATTTTCAAGAAAGTGACTTTGAGTCATATGGCATAAGAAGAAAGTTGAAGAAAGGAGCTGTGCCTTCTATTTCTCTATACAAGGTATTGTTGTTGTTGTTGTTGTTAGGTGCCCTCGAGTCTGTGCCGATTCACAGTGACCCTTTGTACAAGAGAATAAAACATTCCCCAGTCCTGTGCCACCCTTAAAATTGTTATGTTTGAGCCCATTGTTGCAGCCATTGTGTCAGTCCATCTTTTTGAGGGTCTCCCTCTTTTTTAACTGGCGCTCTACGTATCAACTTCTTTTCCAGGCACTAGTCCCTTATAATACCATGTTCAAAGCACATGAAACAAAGTCTCGCCATCCTTGCTTCTAAGGAACATTTTGGTTGTACTTCTTTCAAGACAGATTTGTTAGTTCTTTGGGAAGTCCATGGTAATTTCAGTATTCTTCACCATCACCATAATTCAAATGCATTACTTCTCTAGTCTTCCATATTCATTGTCCATCTTTTACATGCATATATTGTTGTTGTTAAGTGCCATAGAGTTAGTTCCTACTCATAGTCACCCTGTGTAGGGTTTCTGAGAAGTGACCGGTGAGTTTCAACCACCAAACCTGAGGTTAACTGTCCAATGTTTATCTTACAGTGGCATACCAGGACTCTGAGGCATTTGAAAATACTTTAGTTCTCAAAGTGACACCTTTGCTCTTTAACACTTTAAGGAGGTCTTTTGAAGATTTGCCTAAAGCAATAAATCATTTGATTCTTGACTGCTGCTTTCATGAACATTAATTGTGGATCCAAGTACACAGAAAGGTACAATTGTTGTTTTTGTTAGGTGCCGTCTAGTTGATTCTGACTCATAGTAACCCTATGTACAATAGACGAAAAACTGCATAGTCTTAAATCCGCCTCACAGTTGTTACATTTGAGCCCGTTATGCTGTCTCTGTGTGAGCCCATCTCCTTGAGGGTCTTCCTCTTTCATTGACCCTCCACTTTATCAAGCATGATATATTTCTCCACGGTCTGATTCTTTCTGAGAATATGTCCGAAGAACAAGAGATGGAGTCTTGCCATCCTTGATTGTAAGGAGCACTCTGGCTGCTCTTCTTTCATGACAGAGTTGTCTGTTCTTCTGGCAGTCTATGGTACTTTCAATATTCTTTGCCAACACTGTAATAAAATACATCAATTCTTCTGTAGTCTAACCTATTCATTGTCCAACTTGGATATTCATATGTGGTGACTGAAGATATCAGTGCTTGTCATTGGGTCGGTACTGACTCATAGTAACCCTATGCACAACAGAATGAAACACTGCCCGGTCCTGGGC